GTGTGTGTGTGTGTGTGTGTGTGTGTGTGTGTGTGTGTGTGTGTGTGTGTGTGTGTGTGTGTGTGTGTGTGGGTGACGGAAAGGCTTGGCTCCGAAGTTAAACTCACACTCCTGGTATGACATGAAGCTGGCTGCTGCCAAGAAGCCGGACTTGGCAGATGAGAACACCTGTTTCTCTTCAGAGGAGGAACCTTTTACATTTTCAGTCCAGAGTCCCAAAAGATTTATTTAGAGATTTATTCCAGAAATATAAGGAATCAAGGAAAAGTAACTCCACTCCCTCAGGAAGACAGAAACTGTGAATTTCTTTTCATTGTACTCAGTATGTTTAACTTTATGAGGTCTCAGTCAGGACCCTATATTTTGGAGAGAAGCAAAAGGCATTCTGATTGCTGTAACGTTTGGGAATTGGGATAATAACAAAATGACTTTGTAATCGCTAAGCATCAGTATAATCACTGAGACCTCACAGGATTAACAAACTTCTACCTCTGGCCACATCTCTTTAGTTTCCAGAGAATATTCAATAAGGTAAAGCCCTCCCCCTCTGGTCTATTACACAATAGTATATATTTTCATAACAGATGGTTTTAGTCAGGATTAAAAAATAACACTATTACAAAAAGTGTTATATATATTTTTTGAAATGATGAAAGACCACCCTCAGGTAGTGTGTTCTTTATTTTCTTGGATCGAAGTGACATATTTTGGAAATCAAAGAGAACCAGTGCATGCATTTAAATTGCAGTATTACATTTTGTATTTAGGTCAAGGAATTCAAAGAGTCTGAGGACTCGTCAGTGGTTAAATACAAAGAGTTGGTTGAAAAAGAAGGATATTTTTAAGAGCAAATCCAATCTGTCCATCTGCTGCTGGCTGATCTTTGGTGCCAGGTGATCTTACTCTATTTCCAGATTGTAATGACAGCTAAAATTAGAAAGCTGTTCTAGCCCTATTCTTTAGACCAATGGGATGAACAATACCTGTAGTGTGTCTAAGACATAAGGCCTCTTGATGTATCAGTCTTAATTCTGAATGTCCAAACTCTTCCACAATTTATATCCTAGACACCCTGAGAAGGATTTGACCAGTCAGCATCCTGACATTCAAGCCCAACAATATCATGAAATCATTTGGCTGTTTTAGAATGTCTTAAAACGTTTCCAGCATCAGAGTGCCAAACATGCCACCAAAGAAAAGCCAGTAGCATTTTACCAGCTGGATACACTAGGTGATTTTTGATTCCTTAAGCCTCAGAGAAATGCTGTAACCACTGTGTTGAGGTGGGTTCTGTAGCTTACTAATAATTTCTACCTTGTTATTGTCGAAATGGCTGCCATTGTTGTCCCACTAGCTGTTTCAGGACACAGAAATACATGAAATGACCACAAAATCATTCTTTAGCAGTGGAAAGCAATGAGTTCCTGTCCTGTTGCCATGGTTACCAGAGAGTTTTACATGTGTTTGCTGGTTAATTCCATTAAAAAGTCTTTTTCCAACATGATGATGATATCTTGACAGTGCAGTGCCAGGAGATCACCGGAGATCAGCTGCAGGTGCGTGGGCCAAGGGTGTGAGCCCAATCCGAGCTCCGCCCAGGCAGACAGGTAGGAGAGAGAGAGAGAGAGCAAGGCGAGGGGAGCAGAGAGACAGTAAAACAACAAGCACTTGTGGCCACACTGGGCTGGCCGGGGAGGCACAGGGACCATGACACACCGCTGCCCTGTTAGCTCTGACACTGAGAAGTGTGCCGTCACCGTGGGTTTTTTTTCTTGTGGATGTTGCAGTTAGACGTCGTGCTGTTACCTCTTCTTGTGCCTGTATGTGCCTTTTCTCACAGAGTACTATTTGTTTGCTATTCCTCTGTCGTGTTGAACTCTCAAGCAGCCAACGTGCCACTCCTACACTCCTGGAAATCTTTTAATATGAGCATAAATGGCTGATGGGTGAACACCTACAGTGTCTGCACGTGTGCTGTGTCGAGCATGTACAAAACCTACTCAGTGTTAGTTACAGTTTCACCTTTTATTGTGTCTAGACAAAAGCACTTTCGATTACTCTTCAATAGAATAAAGAGTTTAAAAGCTTCTAAAAGTGTGTGAGCTTCATCATTCTTAATGCACACACCTTTAACTCAAAACTGTTTGAGATGGTTGATAAAACGGAGTGATTCGTGATTGCTCCAAGAATAATCCTTCTTGTTTATTTCCTCTCATGTTTCTCACTAATGTGTCCAAATTGCAGTTACCTGTCAGCATAACTGGATTTGGTTCTGTCCTGCCTCCTATGCGAGTTATATCTTCTTGTCCTTGTGATGATCAACAACTTATTGAAGATAGATAAATGGTTACTAAATATTAATGAACTGTCAATATATCATTTATAAATGCCTAGAATAAAGAGCTAGGTTTACTTTAGGCGGAACTGGGCTTATCGTAAGTTTTATTTTGTAACAGCCTAAAGGAACCAAACACCAAAAGAAGCTAAAAATGAAAAAAGTAGAAAATAAATAATGTGAAATTAAGAGAAAAACAGTGGTTTTTGTGAGAGTCAAATGTGTCATGTGTGAAAGTCCACTGACTGCTCAAGTTTTCCCTGGATGCTCCATTTTCATTCCTCAGTCTGAGCACATGGTTCTTTGGTAGGTCACAGTCCCTTCCACCAGAGATACAATCAGACACCAGGAGTTAAGGAGTGAAGTAGGTGTTCTACTTAAGGAGCCTTTCTTGTTGTTGTTGTTTTTATTAAATATGCTGATTGGAACAGTTCCATCATTTACCCACTGTTTTTTGTTTGTTTGTTTGTTTGTTTTTTAAAGCAGGCATTTAATGATCTCAACATGACAGTATTCCTGGACCTGTTTATATTGTCACAGTCATGTGAAAAAGAAAGATTTCTTTGCAGTCCTGTGGCAAACGCTCTATGATTTAGTAGCTCGTGGAACCCCCTTTAACTGCAACAAACTGAATTCATCATTCAATGTTCCACTTTATCAGTCTCTCACATGGTTATGGGGGAATTTTGACCCTCTCTTCTTGCTTCATAGAGGTGTTTATGCACTCATTTATGCACAGCCCTCTTAAAGTCCCTCGGCAGCATTTCAATCAGGTTGACATTTGGACTTTGACTGGGCCTCTATCTTTTTCTTTTTCAGCCATTCTGTTGTACATTTTCTGATGTGCTTGGCATCCAGTTTGGTCCAAGCTTTAGCTGTTAGACAGAAGTCCTCACATTTGACTCTAGAATACGTTGGTATACAGAGGAGTTCATGGTCAGCTCAGTGACAGCTCCACTTTGGGCTCATATGTTCAAAGGATATTATTCTATAAGTATTCAAGTATTCAAGCTGCCATGTTCTTTTTAGTGAGAAGAGGCTTATACTGGGAAATCCTTTCAAACAAGTCATACTTGGTCGTTTTTCTTATTATGAGGTCTGTAGCATCTGAAATGTAACCCATGGTTTTTTGCAGTTTGAACATTGCATGGGCTTTCTTCTATTTAGCCTCTTAATCAGCGTCCTTTCAGCAGATCCAACATAGCATTGCTATGTAAGCTGTAAGCGTTGTGTCTCAGCAGCTGTGGTGACTAACTAGATCAAGCACTTCAACTATATATCAGAAGCTTTTTTTAAAGAAAAAAAAAAGAAGAAAAAAAAGAAATATACAAGGCCCAGGCAAGAGGAGGCAGAGGATGTGTTGTCTCCTGTCGCTGCTACAGCAGACATGGACATTGCCTCAGATACAAACTTAGGAGGGTGAATTCGGACCCACTGTAATCTCACTGTGGCTCAGTGCAATCTGTGACGCACCGAGCCAGACATTCACACACTTCTCCAGTGTCCAATTTCTCACTTAGGCCTAATTGAAAAATAAATTCATTACTCACAACAAAGTTATTAAAGGAAACTTCAGAGGCCAGTGAGAAATGTCCATGTCTGTCACACTGTCACCATAAAATCATGCCTGCTGCTCAGAGTAATGTCAGTGTTAACAGCAGTGTCTCTGTTCCTTCTGTTAAACTGTGCACACAGGTATGCAAGAGTGAGTAACCATGGTTACAAAGGGACGCCATAATCATCATTCCCAGCCGAACACCTCAGGCTATTATGAAATTTTAGCTTTTTTTTTTCTTTTCTCTTTCGTGTTATGAGGCGTTGATGGGAGAGAGGAGTTAAACACAAAACATGCTAATAGAAAGGTTTGGTTTTACTGAATAAATAAATAAAATTGCAATCCAGGTATCCACAGAAGGGTAAGCAGTCAGGAGGACAGGTGGGGAGTTGGGACTATAGAAACACTTGGACATGGGTGAAAACCTTACAAAAGAGGGAAAACAAAGAAAGCAAAGCAAAGTTGTTGTTGTTTTTTTTAAAAAGGGAAAAATGGTGAAACCAAGAACAGAAGAAACAGGAAAAGTCAACCCAGGAAAGGCTCTTTTATACTGACTCAATTATAAAGGGACCAACATTTTCAAAATAAGAGCATGACAGTAAAGAGGGGGCTCAACCTCACAGTTTATCATCTTATATAGCAGCTTTGTCCCTTCCTGCCATACTACAGCAGAGCTGTATCTCACACCACTTTATACACAGAGGGTTAAAAACACTTATGTGTTCTCAGTCACAGCTCCTCTGCCAATCCTCCTCTATCCTATAGCTTCATTTAGGGTTTCCTTCAAGACTGATTTTAAGGACACAGGCAGAAAAAAAGGCCCTGAACTGGCCGTAGGTTTTCTGTCTGTGTGTATGTCACCCCTGTAATGGACTGGACGGTGTGGTGTGAAGATCAATGTCTGCAAAATCATTAATTTTGTAGCAAATGATAAAGAGTTGATCTGCAGAAGCAGAAAAATATCATCGTATTAATGTCAATGTTCCTGCTTAAAACAGCTGGATTAGAAATCACCACAGGCAGACTCTGAAATTGTGATTATTATAATATTTTATCCAAGAGCTTTTCCTGCTTTTTATTCAGCAGTTAC